CACACACAACATATACATACACAACACACACAGGATCGTTGCAAACTGCGTTTTCGCAATACAGGCATCATCACAAATTCTGCACAAAGGAAATGAACAATTTCCGTTTAACAGTCGTTCTTAGGAAATGACCTAGCTGTTCAGTAAGCAATTTTCTCACCAGGATTCAGTAAGCAATTTTCTCACCAGGACTTTTAAGTGCCCGTACGTGAGGATCCGCATGCCCCGGAGGATGAGTTTGAAACATTTAAGTTGTGCTTGCATGAGAAACATTCCCCTAAAATTTCAGCTTTCTACTTAATAATTCTCTCGCCAAATATTTCACGTGCTCGTACGTGAAATATTTGGCGAGAAAATTACTGGAGGGCTGAATTTGAAATTTTTAGCTCATAAATGCACAGCGAATATCCATGCAAAGTTTCAGCTCTCTATTTTCTCTGGTCCCCGAGATCGCTTCTCCTCCAAAAAATTCGCATATTTTTCTAAGTCCGTACGTAAGACCCAGAGATACGCTGATGATGACACTAAAGCAGGAGAGTGGGCGCATACTCCCGAAGTTTCAACTTTCTAGCTTTTCTGGTTCTCGAATTGAAAGTGGACGACAAAAAGTGCGAAAACACAGATACACAAACACAGTCTCTTTCGCATTTGCATATATGCAAAAATGCATAAAAAAGCAGATGCGATTTCGAATTCCCGATGAACCATAGTGAATTCTCGGACGAATTATAAATAATGCTAATGACTGCTGCCCAATGCTGATCATTTGTAGTGTCTTTAGCTGTTCTCGGTATTTTGTTCGGACACCAGGCGACGCTTGTAACAGAGTAACAAAGTTTCATTCCACTTAATTCCGAGTCAACAAAAACAAACAAAATGGAAGTCTGTCTCAGAAACGTAATTTTGTAAAGAACCATCTATTTTTGCCAGTTTTGTATCGCTCCTCGAACTTTGCTTTGATTTCCGCTCGTGCTTTCCTCTTCTTCGTTGGCTCTTTCAGCACTTCTTTGTTCACTAAGTTCTTATCCAATGCAACGTCTACCGAATATCTGAAATAAAGATCTCATTAATTGACAGAATATGATATAATAAACGACGTGTAAACAAAAAAGAAGCGGAGAGGAGTCTCAGTGCAGTTTACTTCTCACTTGAAATATTTTACAACTGTTTCACTCCTGCTAGCGCAAATTTAGTTTAGTCCAACGCTCCGTTGAGCGCAATCTGCCCTATAAACAAGTGAAGAAAAAGGGGTATCCATAGGTGGATCCCGAGCAGTTTCTTGGGACAAGGGGGAGGGGCATTTGGGTGATTTTTCTCCCCCTCCTCCTCAGTTCGTCACCGCACCGTGATCCCACTCTCTCCCTTCTCTCCTCTCCCTCCGCGGTCACCACGCTGCCCTCGTCCCCTCCCCCGTCGCTCCCCACCGACGGGAGGAGGAAGGAACAAGGAAGTGAGGCTCTTGAGAAGGGGGGGGGGGCGGGGGAGCGGGGATGACTAGTAATGTCAAAGACAGTTTTCTTCACTTCTAGCACTGTAATCTGTGGCCCTGGGTGGTGGAGCGGCGTGGGGAGGGCGTAGGGGAGAGACCCCTTGCTCCTTACCTTTTCGGACCCGCCAACGGGGCTACTGCAGTTAATTACGGAGATTCCACTGTATAACAATATTGAATATATCCTTCCTCGGTAATCAATCCTTACCGAAGGCGGATATATCCGACAACAGCCTGTATGGCGGCAAATGCCAACATCTCCGTTTCGCATGAATCGGCATTCACCAGGTTAAAAAAATCTGTTCCACTGCGATAGCGGAACATACGCACACAGTAACGGATATTCTTCGAAAAAAATTTTCATTACAGCGTAAAAGAAACCTGGTTGGGAGTAAGTTGGAATAGCTAGCGATGCGTATGAATGGACGAAGTTTATTTCTGCTTCTGATCTTCTTCTTTCCCATTCGTTTCGTTACCTGAAAATATGCAAAAAAACAATAATCATTTTATCTGTACATAAAATAAGAGTAATTCAGACAACAATCATCATTATGATAAAGCAATAAACTCAAAGAGATACACTACAGTTAAGACTATGAAGATGCCACGAAAAAACTGCACTTGTATATTCCGTTAGTAAAAACTGCATGACAAAAAAATACCTATTATCTTAAAAGCAACCAGTCAAACTCGAAAATTCCATTCATACTGGCTCTCAGTGTGAAGCGAAGGTACTCGAGAAGTAGCCTGAGTGGTAGCAAATGTCAACAGCAATCCTCGCCGGCAAGGCTGTCGACAGCGCCGACTTTTGAAGGTTGCTTACAAGCAAGATGACGACAGATTTGTTTCCTTAGCATATGCCAGTACTAAGCAGATTGCAGCAACCAGGTTGATCTTCCAAAACTTCAGTCTCCTAATTTTCAGGCTTTCGAATGATCTTTGAGACAAAACTTCCAGGTGGTCGTACTTGAGACCTCGGCATACTTAGGAATTGAATTCAAGTTTGTAAGGCCCCTGCTTAAACAGGAAAATTTCACTCGAAATTTTTAGGCCCTAACTCTCCCAGCTCCCGAGATAATGATTTTTCTCGCTAAAACTTCCACGGGGGCGTTGAAAATTTGCGGAGTTGTATGTGGGCAGAGGATGCCATGATAAAATTCCAGCTTTTTAGCTTTTGCAGTTTACGAGATAATAATTTCCCTACCAAAACTTTCACGGAGCTGTACATGGTACCAACGGGTGCGTGAAGGCTGAATCCAAATTTGCGGAGGTTGCACACTGATAGGGGATATCGCCCTAAAATTTCAGATTCTCAACTTTCGTGATTCCTGAGACAACAGTTTTCTCCGCCGGAACTTTCACGAAGCCGTACGTGATGCCTGAGGGTGCGGGAACACTGAATTTGAATTTGTAAGATCGTACGTGGGCAAAGGGCCATTACCTTGAAACCTCGGCTTCCTAGGTTTCATGGTTTCCGAGATAATAATTTACCCGCCAAAATTTTCACCGGGCCACAGTTCATACCCGAGAGTGCGGAAACGCTGAATTTGAATTTGCAATGTCATACACAGGCAGGAGGTCACTACCCTAAAATTTCAGCTTCCTAGATTCCATCGTAACCAGGATAATAATTTCCTCGCCAAAACCTTTTAGCGGGACTGTACAAGTTACCCGCGGGTAGGGGAAGGCTGAATTTAAATTTCTTGGGTTGCAAGTGGGCAGGGGACATGCCCACAAAATTTTAGTCTTCTAGCTCCCATGGTCCCTGTGATAATAATTTTCCCCGCCAAAATGTCTACGAGACCGTACGTTTTACCCGCAGGTACGGGGAAGCTGAATTTAAATTTGCGAGGTCACACGCGGGTGAGGAACGTTCCCCTAAATTTTCAGCTTCCTAGCTTTTGTGGTTCCCGAGATGAAAGTGCGGGACGAAACGCGCGTGCACATACACACATACACAAACGCACACACATACACACGCACATACACACACGTACACACACACACAAACACACACAAAGACAACCCCCTGACAATATGCGTTTTGTACTGCTGTTACACAACACAAAAAGTACAATAAGTATGGCAGTGTGTCTTAGAGGCGATAAGAACAAACCGCCATGGAGTTGCTGCGGGCACACACATACACATACGCACACATATACACACATACACACGCACATACACACAGGCACACACATATACATACATACACACGCCCATACACACACGTACACATACGCGCACACACCCATGAAAATATATATGCGTTTTGTACTGCTGTTACGCAACACAAAAAGTACAAATAAGTATGGCAACGTGTCTTTGGGGTTGATAAGAACAAACCGGCCGTGGATATTTGTCGATGCCGGCGATCAATGCGTGGCTGTAGGCTCGATCCGATGAGCCATCATCGTAGGCCTTCACAATGATCGCTTTTCGGCCCGCATAACGCCCACCGAGCACCAGCACCACTTTCCCTGTTTTCATTATTTTACCCATTTTCGACACAAACACAGAGAGTTCCCTGAAATTTGTACGTTAGCGATCCAAGAAACGTCCAAAACCCGCAAAGAACAGCAAATCACCCCACAAGGGACAACCACACGTACAACCACAAGCCCACAAGCGCATGCGAGCCGACTTCTGGGATACAAACCAGAATGGTATGTGCACCCCCGCACAGACCCAATATGCAACACATAAATCCCAACAGCCTTGGTAGGACGATCTTGACCGAGACCGAGGGCCTCCGGGACGATTTCTAAAACTTGGCTTGACTTGGTTTGGGTGCCCCTTCCAATTTAATAAAATTCACCGGGTTTAGAATCTACGTCGTCTTATGCACGTCCCAGTTAGAGCCACCCAGTACCGGTTCAGCCTCTAAATTTCCAAATTCCATCCGCCCACAGAGCCCAAACAGCCCGTGGGGTCTTTTTCTTACTAATCAGCTGCAAGGTTTTTACAAAAACGCATGTGTTTGGGGGTTTGAAAACTTGTTCATTAAAATTTGGGAAACTGTACAGTCTCAGAGCT